GAAGAGTATAAAAATAGATGTCAGAAGTTGTAATAAAGCATATTAGTTATTTATGGATTCAGTACAAGCCCCATACAGGTAATGGAAGCTGGGAGGAGTGGGGGTGAAAATTACAGGGTAAGCACATCTTAGGATAGTCTGTTCCAGCAATTGACTGATACCTGGCAGTATGGCTCTCCCTGGGTTCCAGAATCAATACCTCATTGCTGTAAGATGTTCTCTCTTCTTGATGTATTGCTTGAAGCTAGCAAGTGCCTGTATTAGTTAACACTTAAGCCATAGCTTCTGAACACTTTAAATGGGAACAAAGCAGCCCCTCTCCATGGCCATGCCATCCTCCTACTTCTCTTCCCCAAGTTTCTCCCCAGCACTCCTTCCTATAGCTGGTACTGTACTAGCATGTTACCACCTTTTGAACTACATCCAGAAAAGGATCTAGTTAAGTAAGTTATGAATTTCATATTTTTTAATCAAACTGAGGAGTTAACAAGCAAAGGAACATGGGAAGCCAAAACGGCTTATTTTGGTAATAAAGTTTGTGACACCAGGATATTATAACATGCCCAAGAGTCCCCACCAGCAGGAGAGCCAAGATTCTCTTTAAAAATTTAAATCCTCCTTGCATGCACTGAGCAAACAGTACTACTTAAAGACCTTGCTAGTCCTACCCGTCACCACTGTGAGGCTGAGCTGAGGCCAAAAGAGAGCAAGAGCAAATGGTGTGAGAAAAATCCTAAACGACTGCTGGAAGATTCATTACACCTTTCCAGCTGGAGACCTAGACTTACAGATCTGAAGCAAAAAGTGGATTCTTTGGAATACATAAGCTATGGTTAGCAGTTAAAGCAACCAGTTCCTTTATCACCCCAAAGCAGGAAAAAAACTTCTGCAGGAATATAAGCAAAGAAGCCAAACAAACTTAATTTTAAAAGGTGACACCTAAGTAAGCTTTTATCTGCAAAAAGCTTAAAAGTAAGAGACTTAGGTTTAAATAAAAAAGAATTACACAGAAAAAAACCCACAAAAACACACCAAAACAAACAAAAAAAACCCCAAACAACAACAATCCCATATGAAATTCTGTTTCAGTCTCATCTCTCTGGTAAAGAGCTTCATCTCCCCCTCCCCTTGCAACTGTATTTCTTACAGTTCTCTACAAAGAGCAGACAGCTACTGACTTGTCTATAATACGTGAAATGGAATAAAGTATGGGAAAAACACAGTCATCATTCAGGTATGGAGTCACTTCTCCAGGAAAAGCACACTATAAATGAGACTGGGCAGCAGTATTGATAGGTTCGGCTGCTCCAACCCCATCATCGAAATTTATGAAGCAATTAATTTACCTTTAGGATGCAGCTACATTCAGTAATCCAGAACACAGGCACTGTTTACAAATAAGATTACTCCCCTAATGTCTACATTACTCAGCCATTTAACACAGGTCTGCTACTTGAGATGACAAGAGTAAAATAGGAGATGCTGATTAGAACTACATGAAATTACACTACCTGGCAAATAGCCTGCTTTCTTAAAGGATATCCTATACAACTATTCAGAAGACTAAACATATCCATAAAACCTTGTAACAAGCAACTGTTGCATTGTATTTGTTCAGTTATACCTTATGGCAGACAACAGACCTACTGCAGAATGCCACTGCACAGACTACATTCCCATTAGCAAACTTGATGACTGCTAATCTCCTTTTAAAAAAAATGAGGTTTTTACAACACAGACTTCATTTTACACTACCTATAGCCCCTGAATAATGGAACTTCATTTTATGCAAAATAAATACTCTGAATCATCAATATTCTTTTAAACACAAATAGTACCTGTAAAACATAAGGCAACCAGTTGATTAATAAATGTGAAGTTCTACAACATCTACTCAGACATTACACCAGACGGTGGAGCAAAGTAGCAGTTGATAAGCACCTATTTATCAGTCATATAATAAGGGGTAGGCAGAATAGGTGCAGGTTTAACCAAAGGTAAATATTAAAGCAACTGATTTCTAACACAATAGTAAATATAACTGTCATCAACAGTTTCCCACACTAACATTCTTCTCTTTGCTTATTACAAGTGTACAGTGCAGCAAACATTTAAGTTTCAGTGTTTGGTCAATAAACCTTGATTCCTCCTAATGTTTCTCAGCCCTTTTCCCATAGCTGCATTCACCTCACTTCTAAAATAAATAAAATAAAATCAAGTCCTGTTCTCTGAACTTCAGACACCCAAATCTTTTACAAGTCAAGGATGTTTCTGTTACCACACCCATTTTTTTTTAACCTCTCCATGCCCTTTGATCAACGGCTCTTGTTACAACAGCGTAGGAAGAGTTTTGCTACAGCTGGTATTATCTGCAACATTAAGAGCAGAAACCTAAACCATTCACACTGCCAGCCACATATCACTGGGCTTCTATCAGGTGCTGCAAATCTTTTCAAATAATTTTTATCTGCATAAACAGGGACTGAAGAGGTGACGACCAAAATAAAACACCTGTTCTGAGAATTAAACATTTCATGTTTTCTCCGGTGCACAAAAATAAAAAAAGAGGCTATGAAAATGGCAAAGCCATCACAGCAAAGGAGTTAGTAAATCAGTATCCAAATATCTAATATAATCTGATAAGCATTTTCATATTATGCACAGTAAGCCTCAAAACATGGGAGACATCAGTATCACTACTAAGAATAAAAGAAAAAAAAAAAGCAGACAACACTGATGTTTCCCCTTCTTTCCCCATCTCTTTTTGAGGATGTATTTTCTGTATTCTTACACCATACCCATCCCCGTAGTGTTTTGAGCATATTCTCCTATTGCACTAAGCAGCAGTTCATTACAGCTCCACAAATGCTGACTGTCTCAACTTCTTGCCAGGGAAAAAGGCACACCCAGGAACAAACCTCTTCTGAAGAACTAGCTTAGACCTTAATACCTCCATTGCTTTGCTGGAAGCTGAAGAAGGCAAGGTCAAATACAAGTTTCTTGTATTCAGTGCAGGCAGAAAGGCTTGTTATAGTTTTTACTTATATGGAGGAGTTTTTTAACTGCAGACTGAACGTGTCTCCCACACTAGAAGAACACTCACCTTCCCAGTGTTCCATTTCAGAGTGATGCATTTCACCATCATTCTGTATAAACTTTCCTTCTTTATGAATATTCAGACTGCAGCAAAGTTAAATAGAAAATCTGCAGTAGTATGAAATAATTATTTCCAAGTATATGTTCTAATCATGTAGAGAACAGTTCTGGGACATAATAAAAGCTATTTAGTTTTATCAAATCACTTCCATTTCACATCAGATCTACAGTCCACATGTATCACAGAAGCTCACCATCAAATATGAAAAGAAAGAATATTCCACAAGTCTCAAGTCTGTTCATGTTTAATCTTCTTCTACAGAAAGATGTTAGGAATGCAGAAGTAATCTCTTAACAAACCAAGTCATTTCACTTAAATGCAACGAGCTAGGCTCCTAGAGTTAGTTTTCTAGCAGGTGCCTTTTCTTCCAGGAATTCTCTTGCTATGTATCCTGAGCTAATATTTGCAATAATAAAAATATAGCTTGCAGAAGAGGTTTGAAAATAGCTTATTTTATCTCTGTACAAGTTTCTCACAACCACATAAATGACCACCCAGTTACTAAGGAAAGAGGATGTATCAGAAGAAGAAAGTATTTTGGCTCAAACCCCTTCTCTCCCACAAAATGGGCATTCACATTTTCATGAAACAGCAATATACATGTACCTGTGTAAGTTCCCATATTTTAATGAAAGATATAAAAGTCAAACATCTTGCAGAGAACAAGCAACTGGTAGAGACTCTTATATTCAATCTAAAATGAAGTATTAAAGAGGTCACTTCTACAGCACCAATTGATTCCACAGATTTCAGATGTTACAGCAGTCAACACCTAATGCTTATATTTTGATTAAAGTTGGCAGACATGGGAACACTTGCCTTAAAGTGAATTTTAAAAAGGGAGTAATAACAAATATAGCCTCTTCAAGTGATATATTGCAGAATTTGTTTTTTAAATGGAATCCCTGCATTGATAACAAAAATCACGCCTATTTTATAGACACTCATGGACAAAATTGTGTTAACATTACAAGACAACAAAGTATGGATAGAAAGCATTTTAACCAGTAAATGAAGGATTCCAAGTTTCTCCTTTAAGACTACAACATACTGCAGAAAGCACTGCAATATACGTATGTAAGTGTAGCTTTTACTTCAGGATTTTTCAAGTTAAATTGTTGAATCTGTATGGTTTTCCATCACTGTATGTTAAAGCTTATTATCTGATTGATTATTTTATTGGAAAATTTAAGTTGCAACCAGCTTATCTCCATTACATAGCTATACCTGTAAACATTTCAAAGCATTCCCATCACGATACATGTTAGACTGAAACGCTAGTAACAGTATTCTGCCTTATTTTTAATTCTTTTAAGACAAATATCTATTCTACTTAGTCTAATAATCGTCTAATAAATAGTCTAAAATTTTGTGTGTGGCTGAACAGAAATAGTGCAGAGCTAACAGTTACCTCAAGGGCTACTGATGCAACTAATAACAGGTTTAAATTACCTTCTCCTCAAATTAATCCAGAATAGAAGGATTCTGTAACATTCCCTCTCTGCCCACTTCACTTCAAAATAAGTTGGTTTTTTTTCCACTTCTGACAGATTCTTCATTACTTAATGCCTGTGCAAATGGAAAATTTGTCTTTTATACTTTCTCTTACTCACAGACTAAATATGTTCAGGACATGTTTTCTGTGTTTTCAGAGAAGAAATTTACTATGTACAGCCTTACAAATTTTAAGTATAAACCAACAAAAATCAAGGCTCCCAATGTAGTTACGTATGAGGAAAAAAAACGTATTGCTGAGAACAATAAGCTCAAATCACAATGCCAGATTATCAGGAAGTGTGCAACTGGGAATAAGATGAAATCTCTCGTGTTTTGTTTTTTTTTTTTACAGCTTTGGTTTGAACTCGCCAGAAAGCAGCTTTTTAAGCATCTCAGAATTTTTTCCTTCTGGTGGTGAGGGCCATCTGTCGTGATCTGAGGAAAACAAATAAACCAACATACTTAGTCAATCAAAAAACTGGGCATTTTACTTTTGTATCCTCCCATTGCCCAACTTCAATCACTTTAAGATCATAATTTTGTAGCCCATTTCTTACCAGGTATTTCTAGTATATGCCCATATAAACTTTGGCCACCATCCACAACCAGGGTTATCCCAGTTATGAAAGAAGCAGCTGGAGATAGTAGGAAACACACTGCAGGAGAAATCTAACAGAAGAATGACAGTTTTAATCTTTCTTAAATTGCTGGGAAATGATCATGTCAAAGATGCTTGTGAAAACTTGCAAGACATAGCAACATTTTCTAGTGAGTAATGAAAACTATAACAGTCCTAAAGCCATCTTTCCAGCCACAAACATCAAGTACATAACAGATGAAAACCGGTAAGCTCTTAAAGATTGGCATCAGATGCCAAAAGTCAAACAATAATGCTTACAAGTTTAACAAAGATGCACATTCTTGGTGGAAGAGAGCTAAGTACTTTTCAGATACACTTTTTGCACATTAATATTCATTCTTTCAGTCCTCCCTGCTGGAAGTCAACCTTTTCAGGAACCAATGTTTACTATGAAACACTTCAGCTGCAAGAGGCACTAAAATTAAATTTTCAGTATAACAGTGACTACTGCTTAAGTCTCTCACTTGGCACTACTAAACATTTCTACAAGTTTTTCACTTCTTGAATATTCTATCACAGTGCAAAATTAAGTCTTTTTTGTTCTCCATATAAGTGCTTCAAGATAAGAAATACAGAAGTAAAAATATTGCAAACGTTCTGAAATACATTACCTCCTCAGGAACTGCTGACCTCTTGGCAGGAATCTTTGGTATGCTCTTTAACCACAGCATTGGACCTTGCTCTCCATAGTTTGCAACAGCAGTTTCTGAAAATACTGTTCCCTATTTTAAAACAGCATAGTGAAAATTAAGTTCTCTTGTATATGTTTAAATTGTGATCACTGTAAAATTGTGAAGTTGTCATTACTGAGATTTTTTGTGGGATTAAACTCTCTAAATAGCACTTGAATGCAAGTTACTAAATTTTAATGGAATCATATAATTTATACAAGAAGGCAATTTGGCTGCTAGCCACATCTCTACTCAAGTACCATCATTCAGATTATTCCAACTCCCCACTGCTACTTCAACAACTATGAAGGCAAAAGTGTAAAGAAGAAACTCAGACTGTTTTGAAATTTTGAGCATTTCATATTAGCTTATAGCAGGAAACTAAAAAGCAAGTTCTCTCAACAGTTTCTTGTAAGAACACTAGATTGATTTTGCTGTGAATTACAGAAGCAGATAAGATTACACTGTCAGAATTCAGACTCTCCTTACTTAGGTGCTACAAAAATAGAATTTCCAAGGTGATTATACTGTCCAGTTTGGACTTGAGAGGGAAGATGAAGGCTACAGCAGTGGGAACACAGGGTTATATAGATTAGTTCTGTCAAAACCTTCCGGACTCAAGTTAAAGTAAGATAATGAAATTTTAATTAATCTATGGAGCACATACTAAGATTTCCAAGATATCTGTGAAATGTGATTGTATTTTGGCAGCTAGGGAGGTAACTCATATATGAAACTATTTTTCTCAGAATGTATGTTTCCCTCTCTAAGTGCCCATTCCCTACATGTTATTCTGCTCCTATAAAACAGTAACAGTTTTGTATGGTTACCATAGACCTAGTGTGTCCATAAACATGAGTATTACTGTAACTACAACATAGATTTCTGTTACCAGCATAGTAACAGAAACTGTTTGCTTGTCAAAAACTTCTTATGACATGTGCTATAAAGTGTAATTAATATGATTCATTAGGTAATTAGCATACATGAAAAATGTATTCACATAATAATTCTGCATTAATTACTTATTTCCTTGAGACTTGACAAATCAGAAAAAACAACCAGTAAAAACAGGCCAGCAGATGCTAATATTCAACAAGTGTCCAGATGAGTTGGGCCTCACAGAGGCTACATAAGAGCCACTACCTAAGTGATGACCACACATCTGCTGTTAAGCATTCTGTACTATGCCAAAGAAAGTGAGCCAGATGTTTTAGGATAGGACAAGAGGTACAACAGGATATACAGACATCTTACAAAGACAATAGAAAGATCTTTCTTCCTAGGAGCCAGTGCAACAAATCTGACACTTGACTATACTGTGAGATAAGATAAATTCTGAATGTAAAAATAGCTGGACAAATTTTACCTTTCCTCTTTTGTTTTCAAGGGAGTAAATGTGCAAAGTAAATTGCAGTTAAGAGTGAAGATTACACAATCTCAAATGTCAAACCTAGGGCTTCTATATAACCTCTATACCTGCAATACCAGGCACTAGAAAATACAGCTGCTCTTACACATAGTTGTTTCAAACAACTGCTACACCCTACCTACTTCCTCAGAATGTGGCAGGCATATTTTAGCTGACCTGTATAGTGGTTTTCTGTCTGCATATCCTTGATAAGAAAAAAAATTAAAATTGCAACATACATTTCTACATATAATTTCTTTGAAAGAAGGCCCACTCCAAACACAGTCTTTTTATGACTAAAACTAATCTAACTTAATAGGCAGAAGACAAGGTTAAAGACATTATGTAACACAGTCAGAAATTTTCAAAATAACTTTGCAAACACAGGTGGAAACCATCAGCATGCCTGAACCTTGAATAGGGAAAGTTTTGTGAACTCTAATGTAATCATTACTGAAACACAAAGCTTTCAGTAACTTTATGCCAAGGTTTTGTAACACAGGTCAACAATTCTTCCCAGGTAGCATTTTATTAAGCCAGACAAAAATTCCAACCCCAAGCAGAAAGCAGGAGCAATTTTATCCTACATCTCTGGCTTTTCATCCAAATGTACAAAACACTCTAAAATGATCTCAAGAGTATAGATGAAGGGAATATAAGTAAATAAATACATAAATAATCCACAATAGTTACAGACTATAGAGTTTAAAAATGTCTTCTGGTCTGAAAGTTTTAATCATGAACATGTATGATGGTTATGTTTATCAGATTGTTTGCCATTACTTACAGGAGCAACGCTGTTGATTCTTACTCCACTGTGGGCCCATTCTAAAGCTAAAGTCTTGGTTAGGTTGTTCACTGCAGCTCTCGCAGCTCCTGTGTGCCTTTTGAGAGAAGAAAGCAAAAGGAGCAACTCTTCCCTCAGCTAACAGTGCCCATTGTTAATTCTACTGTAGCCTCACTAATCTTAGTGAGAGTAACTTTCTACAGCTGGACCAACCATCTGAGGGAGAGAGAGTTTTCCTAGTTTGTAAGTTTGACCATAACTTCACAGTTTAAACAACCTATGCTATGATTTCTCATAATTTGTGGAAATACTTATCTCTTCCCCAACGTGACTTGAGGTCAGATACTTTATCCTGCAGAAGCAGGCTTATAAAATGAAAAACAACTGGAGGCAAAGTTCAAAATATGTAAAACTATGAAAGGTAGGCTGCACAGGCTTCCAAGCAACACTTGGAAGGACAGTGGTCTGAAAAATAGTTTAGATCTTCTGACAAACACGATTAGAATAAGCCACTATTCAAAAATTAGTATAGGGAATGGAGGAAGAGATGACCATAGGCAGAGTGATCTCAAACACCTTGCTGCTATAGGAAACTATTATGAAAACTATTATGAAATGTTTACAATCTTGAAAAAATGCAGACAAAATTACTCCAGTGATGAATAGTGGACAGCTGGACTCAGAAAACTGACAGAGTTTAGTTCCTCTAGCCTAGCAAAACAGACATAGAGGAGACAGAAACAATAGCTTCTCAAATACCAGGAAAGGAATAAGAAAAACTTAAGAAAACGATAAGAAAATCCAACTTGAGCAAACAAATGACTAATTTTACGTTCAAAATTAATACTTATGAAAAACTGTTATCAGGTGTTTTTTGGCATGAGCAGTGGCTGGACTTGTAAAATCAAGTCTTTTTCAATAGTACATTTCTAAAACGAGTATTAATTCAACAGGAATTTAATTTGAAATTAGTTTTGTCTCTCCATGTACATCTGCTCACAACAGTCATTTGGGAATTTTTTTCCCACTGTTATTCAGTATTAGGTTTCTTTATCTCTTGGTTTAACTCTCAAATATAGCTCCTGCCTATTTGCCATGACAATTCAACCAGTTTTAAAACTACTGGAAAAACTCAAATAACTGTAGCTTCAGCACCACCCTGTGGATCTCTAAATTTATTTCATACTGCAGAGAACAAGCTAGTGAGAAAATATTCTGTTGTTCCTAAACTATTTAAGATATTGAAATCTTTCAACCCTAAACAAAAAGCAGTAATGTAACATTTGCTCAAATTATATGTTTACCTTTTCTTCAACAGAAATTCAATTTCAAAGCTTAAAAATGTGGTTTCAAAGAGGAAATTCAGGTTTTTTTTCAATTAAGAAACTAAAAATACAGCATTGTGACAACTCCAGCATTTTGTTTTAAGCTAAAGTAACTGAAACAATTAATTTTCTGATTATTATTTCTCTTTCAATAAATTGGAGCATTTTTGGTGGAAAAATTTCAAATCAGAAGACTCTTTCTCACCTCCATTTCAAAGATAATTTGAGTAATAGTACAGATACTGAGAGGATACTGCCTTTTCATACAGATAGCTGTGATTGTTTGTGTCAGTATAAAACAACTACAAACATGGTAATATGTTTGAACCCAGGAGACTTCTTCCAGTCAATACAGGAGAATCCTCCCTAAGAAAGATGGCTACAAAGTAAGAGGAAAAAGGAAAATGCAAAAGGCAGGCATTAAGTGACCCAAAGGATGAATCCAAAACCTGGTAACGTACTAGAAATGTTCCTCCTACTCCCTTTCTCCCAGTCTAACTCTCATAACTCATTACACCATCAAGACTTGCAAACTGACAATAGAAGATGAAAACAATAGGTGCCAAGTTCTTGCAAACCCTCCAGAAATTTGGAGAGAACACAAGCAAAGGTTACATTTCAGTGCAACTAGTCCCACTAGTATACCATTTCCAGTGAAAGCTTCACTGGCAAGTCTTGCTTCGTAGTTTCTTACAATTTGACAGAGACATTTACTCCTGAAGTTTCTACTGAATTAATGAGAGATCCCCACACATAAAGCCAACTGATAATTTTGCTCTCCCTTCACCTAACTATTGTTTTTCTATACTCTGCTGCTGCCCCCTGCACACCTTTCTAAAATGAAAGGAGCAATTAGTACTTCTAGGGTAAAAATACAGGAAAATGTAAAAATAAAATAAAATATATATTACGACATTCCAGGAAACCCATTTCTCACGACAGCAGTAATGTTGACAATGACTCCTCCATGTTTCTCCATCCAGGCATTGTACACTGTATGAAGGAGGAAGATAACCTATAAATATCAGAAGTGCCAAACTAACCTGCCAACTGGAAGCCAAACTGGGAGTCGTAACTCTACACTACACATTTCCGTGATTTAGGTAAACAATCTGCTTTTTGTACCATAGCCTCACCACTGGAATGATGAGGTCACAGATGTAGCCCAGGTAAGGCTCAATGTTTGCCTTCACGTAGAAAACAGGATTTCATGCTTCCATGTAAATTACTTTCATTTCCACATTCCTAATGCTCTCCGAGAATCACGTACTTAAATTCAACTCTAATTTTACATCCCTGATGGGAGAGAAGTCTTTTTCTGTGCTACACACAGTGAATACAGGCCACAGAAATTAAGTGGTTTTCCTATAGTCCTTTAAGTAAGGATCCAAGTCAACTGACTCACCAAACCTGGCCTTAATTAGATGATCATATTTATCTAAATGTACATATGTTCAAATGTAACCTACAGTTTCATGTAAAGCTTTGGATGAGGATCATGAAAACAAATACCCACTGTCA